TCTGTTTATTCTGCCCCAAATATGCAAACTAATTTACATAACTGTACAAAATCTACACTATGTATAACTGTAATTAATATTATCAATATCAGAAATGTCATGTCACAAACGCACACATATTCAGTAGGGATTTCATGATAATAGAGTTCGGTACCAATCGATACTGAAATTTTAAAAACGTCCCTGTATGTGTGGTTACACTCAGTTAACAGCGGTGAGTTTGGTGAACTGATGACCTTCACGGCCAATCACAGTAATTTCTGTTGAGCAACTGAACACAATGCCAAATCAGCGATGTTTAAGAACGCACTCAACAGTGCTTAAATGTTAGCGGGTATTGGACTTTTTAAGAATTTCAGTATCGATTGGTACTGAATTCCAGTATCATGACAAACCAAATACACAGTTGAAGTCAAAACCTTTTAGCTTGTGACACCTTAAAAAAAACAATGTCAGTGAATCATGACCCCCAATATCCTGGTGGTGGTTATAAATATACAAACCTTGACCAATTGGTGTTTGTGCACCTTTATTTGCAAGTCAATTCTGTAATTGCAAGTCTGTATTTTTGGCGACCGCCACTCGGAGGCCATTATCCAGTTTCAGTCGTGGCCTGAATTTATTTTTAATGTACTTAAGTGTCATAAAGGTGTCAGGAAGTTTAACCTGGTCCCATAAAATCTGATGCTATTACTTCCATTATAGTGTCAGATGCAGCAGATTGATTTCATGGCACCAGGTTAAACTTTCTGACACCTTTATGGCACTCACACATGAATTGCTGAACTTTTCTTTTCTCAAAACCGTACAGAAAAAAAAAAAAAAAAAAACATTTTCAAAGTAACATGAAAACAAAAAAGACACACAATACAGTTAATGGTCATTGACTGGTCAATATACACAGTGTTAATGGTCACCGAATACAATCTTATTTACATTCATAGTTATCATTGATAAAATGTTGCTAAATACTATTTTGTTAAGAGTTACAAAGATCAACAGGCTCCAGATATAAATAAATAAAAATATCACAATAAAAATAAAACATTACATTTCTTCTTAACCATTTATCCCATATGCAGAAATTTTATAGGCTTGTTGTCTCAAAGAATGCGTCAGTACTTCCATATCATACACCTCTTTTACAATATCATGCCGTTCACCTCCAGATGGGGTCTCTATCTTGAGACATTTCTTTGTAATGGCCTTTTAAAAGACGCATTGAGAGTAAAAATCTCTTCTACAAGAGCGTCCTGGCCAAGATTAGGCAGTACACGTCACATGGGTCTAACAAACAACAAACAAATAACAATTAAAGTTTAACCTGGTGCCATTAATTCAATTCAATTCAATTCAGCTGTATTTGTATAGCGCTTTTACAATGTCGATTGTGTCAAAGCAGCTTCGCATAAAGGGTCATAGTAATTGGACCAGGGTAGTTCAGTTTTTAGTGTTTAAGTTCAGTTCAGTGTGGTTTAAATCATTACTGAGAGTCCAAACACTGAAGAGCAAATTCATCAATGCGTAGCTCTACTGATCCTGAACCATGCAAGCCAGTGGCGACAGCGGAGAGGGAAAAAAAACCTCACCGATAGGAGAGTCATGATAAAAAAACCTTGAGAGAACCAGACTCAGTCCGGCACAACCATTTTAATTTCTCCGCTGGCCAAATTAATCCGCATTATATTCTTTTTATGTCTTCTGAATCTGTAATGTTATTAATAACTTGAAGGTAACAGAAAAAGTCTTGTTTTTCTATGTTATATGCATTTGAATAACTTGCTGAATTAACTTAGTTAAGCCTTTAAATCTTACTTTACGCTGAATACTAGTATCTTGAAAATCTAGTCGAATATTATGTGCTGTCATCATTCTATTGTAGTCGAGTATCTAGTCGAATATTATGTGCTGTCATCATGGTGAAGATCAGTTATTAGAAATGTGTTGAAAAATAAAATCTCACTGTTAAACAGAAGTTGGGGAATAAATGTACAGGGGGGCTCATAATTCTGACTTAAACTGTACATATTTGCATAGTTGATTATCTATTCAAGCTCTTGTTCTCTCCAAACTGGATTACTGCAACTCTCTACTAGCCGGGCTCCCAGCTAACTCTATCAAGCCTCTTCAGATGCTCCAGAATGCAGCAGCACGAGTGGTCTTCAATGAACCTAAAAGAGCACATGTCACTCCACTGCTCATCCGTTTGCACTGGCTGCCAGTTGCTGCTCGCATCAAATTCAAAGCTCTGATGTTTGCCTACAATGCGACTTCTGGCCTTGCTCCTTATCTGCTCTCACTTCTGCAGATCTATGTGCCCTCCAGAAACTTGCGTTCTGTGAATGAACGTCGCCTCGTGGTTCCATCCCAAAGAGGGAAGAAATCACTTTCGCTCACGCTCACGTTCAATCTGCCCACTTGGTGGAATAAACTCCCTAACTGCATCAGAACGGCTGAGTCACTCGCTGTCTTCAAGAAACGACTAAAAACTCAACTATTTAGTCTCCACTTCACTTCCTAATCTGGAATTGCCTCTCTGGATAAACCACTAACTGTACTCAAAAAAATAAAATAAATAAATAAAATAGAAAAATAAAAAAAATTACTAGTACTTTCCTTCTTAGACTTTACAGACCTGAAACTTGCCTACAGCACTTATTCATTGTTGCTCTTATTGTTGTGTAAATTGCTTCCTTGTCCTCATTTGTAAGTCGCTTTGGATAAAAGCGTCAGCTAAATGACTAAACATAAATGTAAATTTATTTACTACATAAATTATTTTAATTTATTTGACATTTCTCTGAAAATCTAATAGTATTCCCTGTTGCACACATTGTTAAAACGCTTTGGCATCACTGCAAAAGAATAAAGCAGCATGCTGACCTGTGGGCAGTGTGTTTATGTCTGTGTAAGTGTAGTAAATGTGTGTGCATGATTCATACTTGTTGAAGAGCGCGCGCAGGGCTTTGATGAGCCCACACACAGCGAGACCATCCGTGAACTTCACACAGCGATCCACAGCAGCCGCCGCCAAACCAAACACCTTCTGAACCGAGTGTGTGAGCTCTAATACACAGTCCAGAACCTCACCACGCTCCTAACACACATACAGAGAGTGTAAGAGAGAGAGAGACATTATTATTTTTATTGATGTACATGAATATGATATATTGAATAATATGATGTATTATTAATATTTGTATTTAATTATTATATTTTTTATATATGTATGTTTTAATTTAAACTTTATAAATGCTTTGGCAATACATTTGTAAAATTCGTCATGCGAATAAAGCAATTATTGAATTGAATTGAGAGAAAAACACAGGCGTCACGGTGGAGCAGTGGGTAGCACGTTCACCTCACAGTAAGAAGGTCGCTGGTTCGAGCTTTGGCTGGGTCAGTTGGCATTTCTGTGTGGAGTTTGCATGTTCTCCCTGTGTTGGTGGGGGTTTTTCCGGGTGCTCCGGTTTTCCCAGTCCAAACACATGCGGTGTAGGTGAATTGGGTAGGCTAAATTGTCCATAGTGCATGTGTTTGAATGAGAGTGTATGGGTGTTTCCCTGTGATGGAAAGGCATCTACTGATTAAACATATGCTGGATAAGTTAGTGGTTCATTCCACTGTGGCGACCCTGGATTAATAAAGGGACTAAGCCGAAAAGAAAATGCCTGAATAAGAGAGACAGAGATCCACATTGCTAACCACTGAGCCACCGTGCCACCTTCTCTATTAATATATATTTTTTACATTTATTTATTTTCATTTAGTTCAGACCATAAAATCACAACAGGTCAAACAACATCAGAACATACAAACAAAAACAAATCTGCATATCCGTCTGTATGCTTATCATTTGTGTCAGATAAAAAAAAAAAAAAAACAGTAAAGCCTCACCAGTGGAACAGCACTGAGCTGGATCAGCAGGTTTGTCTCTTCCAGGCCTCCGTACTGAATCTGGTAAGTCTTATAAGGTGAATAAACACACGACACCAGCTCTGCCACCTTCAGGAGGTTACACTCGCCTGAATCAAACACACACGAAGAATGTGATGAACAAAAAACATCACGTTCTCACACACAGTCTATATCACATAGTAACATCATTATATTTTAATTAAGTATTACAATATTTACTACTACTAATAATAATTATAATAATAGCAAGAATAATTGTTAAATAATTAAAAAAATGTTAATATAATTTTATTTTAATTCTAATTTATTAAAATTGTATAAATTTAAAATACAATTTACAAAACTTTATTGTAAATTTATTTACAACAATTTTACAATACCATAACTTACGATATCTGACAGTTTACAATACTATTTAAGAAGGAAAAAAATTATATAAATATTGAACAAAAACAGCAGGGTAAAGAACATTGTAAGGGTGGTCTTGCATTATTCAAACTTTTTTAAATTAAATTATTAAATATTTTATTACATTAAATAAATTAAATGAAAATGTAATAATAATAAATTATTTTTATCTTATTATTATTTGACATTTTTATTTATTTTTGTATTCATTTATTAAAATATAAGATTATTTGAATATTTCAAAAAAATATTTTATTATTATTATTTATAATTCAATATATTTATTTTTGCATTCAAATAATTAATAAAAAAATAATATTTTATTTATTTTAATATTTTATTATCTTAATGTTATTTATTTTTGTATTCAAATAATGAATTAAAACAACAAAATTTTACTATATTGTCATCCATTATTTCATTAATATATTATTATTTATAATCAATCTATTTATATTATTGTATTTTCACAATTAATTTTAAACTTAAATGTGTTCGAAAAAACAATAAGTGACTATTTGCTAATATTTGTCACTAGAAAACACTAACCTAATTTCTCAAAGTATCAAATCTCTTTATTTCCATTGTGATGCACTCCAGCAATTTCTCTACACATAAACAGTCAAATAACTAAAACACACCGAGCTGCGGCTGCATGGCCGCCTCCAGGCTGCGGCTGAAGTTTGCTGCCGTCTGATGAAGCTCCAGCAACACGTCCAGACGGCAGTCTCCAGAGCAGCGCTTCAGAGTCTCAGCAATGCAGTCTGGGATTGAAGGCACCATCGCCCCCAGCGTCTGGATCATCAGCACTGTGAGCACTTCACACGGGTTCCTGAAGACCTACACACACACATATAAAACAGTGTGTGTGTGTGTATACATTATTTTTTAAAGGGGACGTATTATGCAAAATCACTTTTATAAGGTGTTTAAACAGTTGTGTGTCAGCAGTGTGTGAATATAACCAGCCTCTAATGGTAAAAATTTATTAGTTTTATTTATTTATAATTCACTTGATAAAAGCAGTCTGCAGAAACACTTTGATTGATATTCTAACTTTGTACGCATCATCTGCGGGGGAAGCACCGCCCATTAGTGATGATCTCTTCCTCATTAGCATAGGACAATAGTCTTGTTTTAGAATCTGCCTCTATGCTGAGACACAGGCATTTGTAGCTCCGCCCTTTTTTAAAGAGAGCACAAGCTCATTTGAATTTAAAGGGCACCTATGGTGAAAAATCTACTTTTCAAGCTGTTTGGACAGACGTGTGTAAGTATAGTGTATAGACCATCATATTGGGGTGATAAAAACACACCGAGTCCTTTTTTTCAATTTAAAAACATAAAAGCTGTGGACCAATTGGAGCGGTTTTGAGATAAACCGCAACTTGACATAGGAGTGCGCCCCGCCCAGCAATATTGATTGACAGGCGCGCATTACCATATTCTCAGTTGTTGTTTCATGTCTGCCATTTTCAGCCTGTTAGTCAAAGCGATGTCACCAAAGAAACACTTTTGCTCTGTTTTTAGATGTAAAGCTCATTGGGCTTAACACAAGATCAACATTCACCACGATCGCTCTCATCTGCGCCATTGTTTGTAACTTTAGGTGGGTTTGCAAACATGTGTACTTTTCATTGACTGTGTGTTTTGAACAGAACCTAAACTGGCGCACTCACAATAATATTAAATCTTTAAAAAAAGGGAAAAACTATGTGCCCTTCAAAGCTAAAGTCAACAAAAACACAATCAGGATCAAAGCCTAAAAGGGGCCGTTTCAAAAAGTTATAAATCATTATATGTGGGCTACTTTGAGCGAAAAAGTCACACACACGCTCTGATGCTGTGTTCACACCAGACGTGGTACACGCGGATAAATCGCGCGTAAATAGCCGCGTGAACATTTGAGTTTACTCGCTTCATTCACACGTCAAACCCCACTTCATTCGCCCGTCAACAACCGCTTCATTCGCGTGTCAAATTCACTTCAGAACAGACGCGGATTCGCGTGATGGGCAGGGCTTCTGTCTGCCCGGTGACTCTAGCTTCATAGCTAAAGGGCTAACATGGATTTTATGAAGAAAATAACAGTGTTTATGTGCTTTATGAAAGATGATAAACACCGCCGATACGTTTAGAGCCGTGTCTGAGCCCACTACATCCTTTTAGAGGTGCATCCAGCTCTTTAAGCGCATAGACTCTTCCAGAAACTGAACCTGGCTGATGGAGGTTTACAGCGGTGCTTCTGACTGAGCCCAGCCCAGTTTGATGAACTTCTTGTCGGTGTCTGCTGGGGGATTTCACCTGGGACACCGACAACAGGCGATAAGATAGATGTCTATTCACGTGTTTGCATTGACTTAACATGTAAATCACTCGCGCTTGACGTGCGTGCCGCGTCTGGTGTGAACTCAGCATAAGACAGAGGTGTCAAAGCCAGTTCCTGGAGGGCCGCTGCTCTGCACAGTTACAACCCCACTTCAACACACTTACCTGTAGGTTTTAAACAAGCCTAAAGACTCAATTAGTTGGATCAGGTGTGTTTAATTAGGGTTGGAACTAAACTGTGCAGAGCTGCAGCCCTCCAGAAACTAGCTGACACCTGTACTTTAGGCGCATCAGAGACTTATTTTACATCTTGTAAAAATGTGCATAATAGGTCCTCTTTAAATTCACTTCCATTAAACCCACCAATAGTAAATCACAACCATCCAATCAACTCCCAGTGAACAAAATTAAGCCCCGCCCAACATTTGATCTCATTCAAAAAGCGGTTTCACTCCAATATACACAACCACTGTACTACAAAAATTAAATAATAACTAAAATTAATCAGTAAAATTGCATTTAAATTACTTTCCTAATTACTTAGTCAGAAAAGTCCGTTAAATTATGTAATAATTGAATACTTAAAATCCACATTAATCTCAATTTATAGACAACAAAATTAAAAATTAGAGTCAAACAGGGCCTTAACAAATGAACAAAAAGAAATTGTGTGTTATTTTTTTACCTGGCTGCTCCACTGAAGCTGTGTGTGCCATGTGGACAGAAGTGTGTCGTAAAACTCTGAGAGCTGCTGTTTCAGAGGAGCGTCTGACTGACAGATGCTTTCCCACACAGTCAACAACTGGGCCTTAAACACACAGGTTGATTTTCATGCTTATGTTCACACATGCATAATAAAACAAAAGTGTATAAAACATTGTCCAGTACAGTGTCAGATTTAAATACATGCATCATTTCCGGATAACTCTTAATTAAAAAATATATAATAATAAAATACTGCACCTTGTGGCACTTGTAGTAGTAAGCCAGTAACTGAGGCATTCTGTCCATCTCGGTAAAAACTCTAACAAAAAGCTTTGCTTGATCTGAAACAGCACAGAAAAATAAAGATCATCATCACAGCATGATAAAAGCATATTAAAAACATAAAATGATGATTCTCATATTCTGCAGCATGTGTTGAAAATTTATTTTGGTTGCAAAATGTACACATTTGAGCTTAGGTAGGTTTGTTTTCCATGTTTCTGAAAGAAACTCTTTTTAAACTTAGCTACAGAATGAAACAAAAATACTGTAAAAACAGTAATATTGTGAGATATGTACAATTTTGAAAAGTTTCTATTTTTAAAATTGCATTTGTTTGAAGATATAAATAAAATAAATCACATTTTCAGTATAAACTTTAAAAAGTACAACAAAAATACTCCTTTCCATGTCGCTAATATAAATAAAGTATTTCTTAATTGAATTTATAGAAAAAGGGTGTCTTGTTAAGATGGACGGACGGACAAACGGACAGACAGACAGATAGATAGGTAACTAGCCCAGTCAGACAGACAGACAGACAGACAGACAGACAGACAGACAGACACAGACAGACAGACAGATAGACAGATAGACAGATAGACAGATAGATAGATAGATAGATAGATAGATAGATAGATAGATAGATAGATAGATAGATAGATAGATAGATAGATAGATAGATAGATTGATTTTAGGCAAAAACAGCTTGTTATTCTGCTTGATGTTGCAAACTGATATTTTCTTATTATATTATTCTACTTTTTGTTTATAGTTATGAACACACTTGTTTATAAAGCGAGTCGTTTGACTGTTTTCTGCCGTTCTGTAATCCTAGTCATTTCTCCCATAGGCTGAACTGAATCAGAAGTTCTAAAACAAGCGCACTTCCACATCACAGAATAAGGTCAATAAGTCTGATGCGAGCGTGACCTGTGGCAAGAGAGTTGAAAGTGGAGACAATTTGTGTGCTGGTCAGAGCCTCCAGGCGGTTCTTCAGGGCCTCCAGCTGAACACACTTCTCACTGTAGTCCGGTGTGTCCACCAACATCGCCAAACTACCCTGCATGGCGGTCAGTTTACTGCTGATTACAGCCACGTCCTGGAACACACACACACGAGCAGTTCACACATTATTGTTAAAGTTGGCATAAATTGGAAGTTTCTGAGACTTTTACTTCAGTAAGTTAATGTACTTCCAATTTTGTGTCTGAACCGTGTCATCAGAGAAGGAGCCAATCCAAATGCAGAAGCAAATGGTCAGACTTTGATTGAAGATTACCAAAGCAAACTTTATTTTTCAGTGGATTAACTTGCACAGATTAATTGTTCTAAAGAATAACATGTGCTCTAGCAAAATAAAGATTGTAAACTTTGATTCCATACAGACTTTACCTTAAAATAACCATCTAACTGCAGTCAATTAATCGAACCACAGTTGTTTCTGACAACTACATATGATGCAGTTTCTTTAAAGGGCACCTATGGTGAAAAATCTACTTTTCAAGCTGTTTGGACAGACACGTGTGTAGGTATAGTGTTTAGACCGTCATATTGGGCTGATATAAACACACAGTGCTTTTTTTTTTCAATTTAATAACAAAACAAACAGTGGACTAATTGGAGTGGTTTTCAGACCGACCGCAACTTTACGTAGAAGAGCGGTCCCCCCGCCCACCAATATTGATTGACAGCCTTGCATCACGATCATATCCTCAGTTTCTTGTTGCACGTCCGCCATTTTCAACGTGTGAGTCAAAGCGATATCACTAAAGGAACACCCGTGCTCTATTTTTTTTTTTTGGTGAAAAGCTCATGGGGCTCAACACAAGATCAATATTCTCCATATTATCTCTCTAATTGGAATTATTGCTTTTGCCTTTTGCGTGGCGCAGCACCGTGCATTTCGGAGTTCTGAGCGTGGGTTTCTGTCGGGGTGCACGCTGCGGAGCTTCGGGTCAGCGGCTCGGTGCGGCGGAGGTTTCTGTCGGGGTGCACGAGGCGGAGCTTCGGGTCAGCGGCTTTGCGCGGCGTGGGTTTCTGTCGGGGTGCACGCGGCGGAGCTTCGGGTCAGCGCCTTTGTGCGGAGGCTTTGTGCGGAGGTTTCTGTCGGGGTGCACGCGGCGGAGCTTCGGGTCAGCGGCTTTGTGCGGCGGAGGTTTCTGTCGGGGTGCACACAGCGGAGCTTCAGGTCAGTGGCTTTGCGTGCCGTGTGTACCCCGACAGAAACCCACGGCGGAGCTTCGGGTCAGCAGCTGCATTCGGTGCCTCAGTCAAAGTTAATTTAGTGTGTGTGGTTATTAGTCTCGGTGTACAAGCTCGGCACTTGGGTCTGAACTCTCTGCTTGGTCTGTTTTCCGACTCATACATGTACGACTGAATGCTCATCCTAGCATAGCTTAGCTTCTTTCTCTGTCTGTCTGCCTGTCTGTTGTAAAAACAAAGCGTGGGAGCTCTTGGCTCCGCCCGCTTGTTATGTTGGGCGGGAAGCCGAAACTGTGAAGCAACACGCCCCTAAAACAGCAAACTGTGTACACGCCCCCAACATGACACTATTTAACACATTATAATAAAACATCTGAACTGTGTGTTGAACTGAACCTAAACTGGCACACTCAGAAGAACCAGAATATTAATATTAAATCATTAAAAAAGGGGCAAACTAAGTGTCCTTTAATAGGCACAAGTGAAACCATAAATAGACATGTAAATTTAAAAAAATGTGAAACTGTTTGTGTAAAGTGTCATAAGTAGAAAGAGTTTAAAAACTTCTAGCACCAGCAATTGGCAACAGCTTGTTTAGAAAATAATAATAAACAGCTAAAGTAGTTTTCAGTAGCAAATCTTCCTGACATATTGTTTTCTTATTGTGTGTGAGTTTTCTATGTGCAGTATTTACAGAATGCAATAAATTCCTTTAATAATTTAAAAGGTATAAAGTGACAACTTCCAATTAAACTTAATAATTTGTAATGACTCTTTAATAAATACAAAGCATGACAAAGTCACCATGAAACAAATCTAATATTGCGTAATTGTTATTATTTCTTAGACAAAATAATCATCAGCCAAATTGCATAACTGTAATCATCACCTGTGTTTTAAAGGTCTCCTCGATGTCAGCACTGAGTGTGCTCCACTTATCGGCCTCCTGCAGCGCTTCTGCTGCCAGCTGCATGCGAGACTTCACCTGGTCAATCTCCACCAGCACCTGCCAGAACACACCATGCATCACTGTGCTGGACAAACAATGCTTTATTCTGTAGAGCAAGCTGATGTACAAAGGAGACGTTTGTACAATATCTGCCTGTAATGACCTATAAAATGATGATTTGTATATTCGGCGGCATGTTTTATAATTATTTTGGTTGCGCAATTTCTAAATTTGGGGTAAGTTGGGTTTGTTTTCCAAGTTTTCCAGATGACTTTTTTTTTCCAAGTGAATGAAAGAAACAAATACAGTAACACCAGTAGTATTGTGAAATATTATTATATATTTAAAAAATGCAGTTTTCTGATCTAATATATTTTAAAAAGTTATTTATTCCTTTGATTAAAAGCTGAATTTTCTATATTATCACTCTTGTGCATCCTTATAGACATTTTTGTATTTTTTTAATTTGATTTTACATGTTGATCTTTGTTGGCTGAATTAATGCAAACAGAATATAGTTTGGGGGAAAAGGTGTAGAAACTTTTGTACTTTTATCATTTCATCAATCTATTTTAGACTCAATTTAGAAATTGTAGCAAACATTCAAGACAAAACATTTAAACCACATTTAAACTGCAATATTTAATTCCAGTGCAATTTGGGAAAAAGGAGTCAAACATTATTTGTTAACCACCCATCATTTTGCTGGCAACTACAATGTAAAAAAATATATATATATATATATATATATATATATATATATATATATATATATATATATATATATATATATATATATATATATATATATATATATATATATATATATATATATATATATATACATACAGATATATATATATATATATATATATATATATATATATATA